AATGATCATTTGCATCCTCTTCCTCCTCATTATTACTATTAAACTAATATCATTCTACTCTGTGCCCCAGTGTACTTCTCCTTAAAGGGAACCCCCCATCACAAACTTTACAAGTCAGCAGGAATACATCAGTGACGTCACCTTATACATCAGCTGCATCGTTTTTGACAAAAGCTCCACCATCTGCAATAAAAATATCCCCGAGCTCCACTCAGTGACTTTGCCATAGGGTGAGATGACGCCATCAGTTTGCTGCAGGCAGGAGAAAGCATTTCCTCATTCTTCCCATCTCCCCCAGCAGGCATCAGTTTGCTGGAGGAAGCATTTCCTCAATCTCCTTTCCCCCCAGTATCACTCAGACTGTACATTGTAACTTTGTAGCAAGACACAAGGTGAGGCTGCAGCAGGGATCTGTGTCATACAATTGTGAACTGCAGAGGATGTACATAACTGCATCATCTCTAAGGCCCCTTTCACTCCAGGGAGACAGCGTTTCAGCACTTGTTTTTGCGGTTTTTTTCTGCGTCTCAGCGCGTTTTACAAGCGTTTTCTGTTCATATGTAAGAGCGTTTTATGGCTCATTTTCACTTATCCAATGAAAAGCAGTCTCAGCGCTGAGTGAACAGCCCCCCATAGGAATACATGGGATTTTGATATGCATGCGTTTCAGCGCAAAAAAAGAAAATGCGCGACGAAACGCCCTGGTGTCGAACGGGGCCTAAACCAAGTTCACTGCAATACTGCGGGAGGATTAGCAAACCAGCCGTTTATTGTGCCACTGGTATCATTCACATTTATATTTGATACACTGTTATCATTCACATTTATATCTGATACACTGGTATCATTCACATTTATATTTGATACACTGTTATCATTCACATTCATATTTAATACACTGTTATCATTCACATTTATATTTAATACACTGTTATCATTCACATTTATATTTAATACACTGTTATCATTCACATTTATATTTGATACACTGGTATCATTCACATTTATATTAGATACACTGGTATCATTCACATTTATATTTGATACACTGGTATCATTCACATTTATATTTGATACACTGGTATCATTCACATTTATAGGTAATACACTGTTATCATTCACTTTTACATTTGATACACTGGTATCATTCACATTTATATTAGATACACTGGTATCATTCACATTTGTATTAGATACACTGGTATCATTCACTTTTACATTAGATACACTGGTATCATTCACATTTATATTAGATACACTGGTATCATTCACATTTATATCTGATACACTGCTATCATTCAGTTTTCTATTTGAATGATAGCTGTGGTTTTGTAGTGTGTTTTATATCACATGGGTGTATTTGGTGATGGATTATAGCACTATAAGGAGATAGATTTTTGTAGGACATTATAAAAATAAAAGTATTGTATATGAATAAATATGTTGTATTATGGAATGCAGCTGCATGCTCTTGTGTTCTACCTGAAAACATATTTGTCATGGTTCTTACATATGCTGATGGTAGTGGGCACCAACCCCAATAGGAGGGTGAATCTGTCTACATAGAAATAATATACTATCATTGAGCGCGTTAGACGATTGTCTGACTCCTTCTGATGTCTCCGGTTGGGGTTGCGTGACTGTCCATCCATTGATGAAGCTCTGATCTGATATTTGTACCCAGTCATAGAGTACAGGAAGGTTTCCAGTCATCCCAACCACGAGATATCTATAAGTGGCAAATCAAAGTCAATCGGACTTTCTAAGTCATCAAAGAACAATCAGCAGTTTGATTTCCGGCCCATGAGCACCAGCCAGTATCGTAGGAACATTCTCGCTTGCGTAGATCACTTTTATGACCCTTTAACGACTTTGACGTCCTTCCACCAGTTTCGGAAGACACCTATCTGGCAAAGCACTTTAACAGATGATAAAGAGGGATCGTTGTCAAGTCTTTAATAGCTGTTGGTTTTTCTCCGAGTTGTTTCATTAGCATTATGGACAATGTGTGAATGTCCTCGAGTGGTAGGCTAAAATAAACTTGATCCTCATTAGACCCCGGAGGCCTTCAATTGCAAATGTCCAGTAAGTAGAGGCTACTGTGCAGGGCCCCCCTGGAGAGGACCTAAAGATGGACTGCCTTTTCAGCAGCTCATAATGAGCCCACGTCCGGGGTGTTAATCTCATTTAACCCCTGCCATTCCCAGCATCATCGGGGACGGTGTAATAGCCCTCGGGGACGTCCTCTGTCATTGGCCCCTTTATATCCTGCTGAGTTTAAAGAGTAGGCCTCACACAGCCCATTGTGACGTCCGTCTACCTGTACAAAGGTGTGGGGGGTTCCAGTAGAGTAGTTAGGCCAGACTGATGATGTGATGGTTGCACAGTCCTGCCAGCCTGGCAGTTATGGAAGAATCAGTCCACTAAAATTACATTTACCAGTCGGTTGCTATTTATAAAGCTGCCTCTATTGTGCCACATTCAGGAACATTCAGCTTTGACCCTGTTCTTTTGGAGACGCTGAGCAGTGTAGGCCAAAGCTGCTCGGGTCACTTACTGCATGTCCAATGGAACGATGGAGTTGGGGGCAAGATTTGTTAGCCCATCCAGTTGGTCATTCTTCCAGATGATGGCTTTACCATAGACAAGGAATGCCAATCCAGCAAAGAAAGAGCTGGTCATAGCCAATTCATGTCTGCACAAGGGTCAGGATATCTGCTTATTGCATAGGCATGCATGCTCAGGCCAAATATTACATGTATATGATATGACTGTATAGCCAGAAAGCTCATGTCCAGGCTAGCCTTAGCTAGGCGTCCATGACTAAACAAATTATAAGAAAATAGCTATGTTGTGATCACCACTAAAAGTCCCTTCTGAACAATACCCAATAACATTGATTAATGACAAGCCAGGTATGTTTGGGAGTGAGTATTGCCACTGAATACTGAGGCATGGGAGCCATAGCAGGTACGCACAATGGAGAAGTTTGATGTATACCTGCATGCATATGGCTGACGTCTTGGCACTACCAATGATTATGGTTTAGCCCACCTAGAACAGATATTTCAGTGTTTGGTGAATTGTAGATCTCTCGGGACTCACTACCGCTCTGCTGAGTTCCCAGCCTCTTGTGTGTATTATGAGGGGTAATCGATAATATGAAATCACCTGCACTCCATACAGTGTACAGACCTCGATGAAAGGTTGGTGCTTGAAGTGACAACACGGATGGCGCCGTGTCAGATACAGTCCATAATAGAAGTCACCAGCACTCGATGACGTGTGCAAGAAGTAAAGCGCTTTTTATTAAATTGTCACGTGCTTCATACAGCCAACGTTTCGGGGGCCACGCAGGGTCCCTTAGTCTGGGCGACATAGGGATATTATGAGGGTATACTCGCTATAGCTGTTGGATTTTTATTAAAAGGTAACAGGAGGAGCTGGGGCACAGAATATTGAGTGGAGCCCAATGCACCCAGGTAAAAAGGAGCTGGGAATCATGTCAGGGAGATCTCGTGGTTGGAGCATCGAAGATATAAAAGCAAGGTGCTGGCCCAGCCAACTGGTGTCCACCTATTATAAAATAACCCCGTTGGGTTGACTGATCCATTAGATGTGGGTACTTGCTGAGCCCAGTGGAATGGTGATCACGAGGGATCGTGATTATATAAAACAGGTTAAGTTATTTTTTTTATATTATCATTTCCTTTTTTTTCCCATCTACTCACTCTTACTCTTCGATGGACTTGTGTCTCTTCTCATCCTGACTAACTATGTACTATGTACTCAAGAATAAAGCCATGATGGCCTAAATTAGCTCATCGAAGGACGAAAACACGTTCTAGCTCTCCCCAGTAATCGTTTGGGTATAAACATATACATGGAGGTCACGTGGGAAGGACAAAGGTGTGTAAAGATGCTTCAAATATTTGCACATCTTGGGGGAAAAAACAAAAGTGATTTTATAAAAAGATCGCTATTGACCGGCAGAGTCTGCATGTGCCCAGTCCCCTTATAGGACCACCCTCATAGTTTATACGGTCTTGCTGAAAGATGTTGCAGAAAGTTTGTTTGAAGCTATATCCTTTATTGGCTAAATTCAATTATGTTTATTTTTAAACTATGGAACAACTCCAAAACCTCCAAAAAGAGAAGGAGTGACACCCAGGGAAAGGGCACCTCGCCCCCAAAATAGAATAAATATCATATAACCACAGCAGATATTTTTTTGTTACAGTAGCCCAGTACTAAAAAGCACAAAAAAGTACCAAACAAAAAAACTACTATACTATATA